GCCTCCATCCAGCTTCCTCCTCCTCTCAGCCTCCATCCAGCTTCCTCCTCCTCTCAGCCTCCATCCAGCTTCCTCCTCCTCTCAGCCTCCATCCAGCTTCCTCCTCCTCTCAGCCTCCATCCAGCTTCCTCCTCCTCTCAGCCTCCATCCAGCTTCCTCCTCCTCTCAGCCTCCATCCAGCTTCCTCCTCCTCTCAGCCTCCATCCAGCTTCCTCCTCCTCTCAGCCTCCATCCAGCTTCCTCCTCCTCTCAGCCTCCATCCAGCTTCCTCCTCCTCTCAGCCTCCATCCAGCTTCCTCCTCCTCTCAGCCTCCATCCAGCTTCCTCCTCCTCTCAGCCTCCATCCAGCTTCCTCCTCCTCTCAGCCTCCATCCAGCTTCCTCCTCCTCTCAGCCTCCATCCAGCTTCCTCCTCCTCTCAGCCTCCATCCAGCTTCCTCCTCCTCTCAGCCTCCATCCAGCTTCCTCCTCCTCTCAGCCTCCATCCAGCTTCCTCCTCCTCTCAGCCTCCATCCAGCTTCCTCCTCCTCTCAGCCTCCATCCAGCTTCCTCCTCCTCTCAGCCTCCATCCAGCTTCCTCCTCCTCTCAGCCTCCATCCAGCTTCCTCCTCCTCTCAGCCTCCATCCAGCTTCCTCCTCCTCTCAGCCTCCATCCAGCTTCCTCCTCCTCTCAGCCTCCATCCAGCTTCCTCCTCCTCTCAGCCTCCATCCAGCTTCCTCCTCCTCTCAGCCTCCATCCAGCTTCCTCCTCCTCTCAGCCTCCATCCAGCTTCCTCCTCCTCTCAGCCTCCATCCAGCTTCCTCCTCCTCTCAGCCTCCATCCAGCTTCCTCCTCCTCTCAGCCCCCATCCAGCTTCCTCCTCCTCTCAGCCTCCATCCAGCTTCCTCCTCCTCTCAGCCCCCATCCAGCTTCCTCCTCCTCTCAGCCTCCATCCAGCTTCCTCCTCCTCTCAGCCTCCATCCAGCTTCCTCCTCCTCTCAGCCTCCATCCAGCTTCCTCCTCCTCTCAGCCTCCATCCAGCTTCCTCCTCCTCTCAGCCTCCATCCAGCTTCCTCCTCCTCTCAGCCCCCATCCAGCTTCCTCCTCCTCTCAGCCTCCATCCAGCTTCCTACTCCTCTCAGCCTCCATCCAGCTTCCTCCTCCTCTCAGCCTCCATCCAGCTTTCTCCTCCTCTCAGCCCCCATCCAGCTTCCTACTCCTCTCAGCCTCCATCCAGCTTCCTACTCCTCTCAGCCTCCATCCAGCTTCCTCCTCCTCTCAGCCTCCATCCAGCTTCCTCCTCCTCTCAGCCTCCATCCAGCTTCCTCCTCCTCTCAGCCTCCATCCAGCTTCCTCCTCCTCTCAGCCTCCATCCAGCTTCCTCCTCCTCTCAGCCTCCATCCAGCTTCCTACTCCTCTCAGCCTCCATCCAGCTTCCTCCTCCTCTCAGCCTCCATCCAGCTTCCTCCTCCTCTCAGCCTCCATCCAGCTTCCTCCTCCTCTCAGCCTCCATCCAGCTTCCTCCTCCTCTCAGCCTCCATCCAGCTTCCTCCTCCTCTCAGCCTCCTCTCCTCTACATGATCCACTTTAGATTTTGGGATGTTTCTATTTGAAAAAGCTTTTCACCTGAGCAACAAATGATCCCAGTCAGTCTCTTTCCAAACCAGTAAAACTGATTCAGTCTGTGGAGATGTTTGTTAACCTGGTGAAGGTGTGAGCAGAGATGGTTTCCTTACAAAGTTTAAAACCGATGCTGCTCTTATCCCAGTAACGCTTTAAATCTTCTCCTTGTTTGGTTTTCTCTCTCCTGATAACCTTTGATAAAGATGTAAAGGCTAAAGCCTCCTGCTTCTTCTAATTTCAGCCGTCGGCGTTTCAGAAAATAAATCTTAAATCTATAAAAAGTCTGTTTGGCCTTTTTAGTGGCAGGATTAAAGGCGAAAGGCTTAAAGTAAAGTGAAACCTGTGGACCACGGCGTTATGCGTCGCTAAGGTCCAGCTGCATCTGAGCCGAGCCTCGTTCTGCCGCCTCATATCAGCTCCGGTTTAATGAAGATGTTTGATTCAGGAGTAAAATAGTGGAAAACTAGGATGCGAGTCTGTGAGTCACTCACCTCAAAATATCCGCCGTGCGGTTTCTGTTCTTTCTGCTGGGTTGCTCTGACCTGTGAGTCAGAACTCCAGCTGGAGCGGCTTTCTGAGGGGGGCAGGGGGGCATGAGCGGGTCGGGGTCAGAGCGATCCAAAATGGCTGCAGTGACTGGAAACAGATTTCCAAATAAGAGTTTAAAACTCGGATCAATCAGATTTTTTTCACTTTGAGCCTCAGATAAAGACGACTATGATTTCATCTTATGCACAAAACGAGAGACTTTTAGTCCTAAAACGATGAGAACTAAAAGTAAAAAGCATTCAGACCTTGAAGCTAACATTGTTCGTTTTTTTCTCCAAACTTCCATAGTCTGGATATCTTCTGGACGAGTAACTTTATCTTTTTTTAAACATTTGCCATCAGAATATTTTTCCTCTGAAAGGCAGAACAAAAAGGTTTCTTTGTGGAGCTGCTGATCACTTTCTCTGTCGGCTCCTTCAAAGAGCTTTTGTTCAGGTTTGTAATGAGTGGAAGAACTCCTGACGCCCTCAGAAACAGAAACAAAGCTGCAGAGGAAGTCTTCATGCAAACACTTCTGTATTCTGATTGATTCTCTCTGATGCTGCACACTTAAAAAATTAAACATCAGGCTATTTTGTTATATTTTAAAGCCAACTTTTGGAACACTGGCACTAAATATTTGTAAAGATAACCTGATTTATTTTCTTTTTATCGAAGCGATCAGAAATTATCCAATCTTTCCACTCCAGCAGGGGTTTAGGTTGTTATTTTAAAACTCCTGTAGCCGATAACCGATATCGATACCGATGTTAAAGCTGGACAAAAATAAGTAGTCATTGAAAATAGCAGTTTTGTTATCCATTTCTGACACTTTGAAAAATAATATACTCAAATATATTTTCATATGCTGATATCAAATAGATTTTTAAAAACGCGGTATCGATCTATTTTACTTTCAAAATCTGGTGAAATTTCATCGTTCTGTTACAAACTCTCGTGATATTTTGCAAATTCTTGTGAGATTTTGTTAGTAAAATAGATCGATACCGCGTCAATATATCAACATATAAAAATATGGCAACATTTGGTGAATTTTCGGGGGATTTCGTAGCATAACGATGACATATAGCAATATTTCATTAGTAAAAGAGATTGATATGGTGTTTTTAAATGGCAATATATCAGCATATGAAGATATTGGGATATTTTAATGTATCAATATTTTTTCCCTCGTCTTTAGAAGTTTTTAAGTCTGTAAAAAAGAAGTTTTTGAGTAAGAAGTAGTATTTTTTTTTATTTTTTTTTAGACTTTAGAAACTCAGAAGCTGATCAAATATCGGGTTAAATATCGGTGGGGTGGCCGATGTCCGATATTCAGTTTTAAGGCCGATACCGATAGGGGGCCCATTATATCCTGCATCCCTAGTTGTGGTTCTGGTTTGGAGGGTTTTAACTTTAGATCTCTTTGGTTCAATGCATCTCCTCATCGTTTTTTTTCCTCTCTGCTGCAGCCAGAAGATGGCATGATTCAGATTCCTCGCCTGCCTCTCTATTAATAACCCGGCTGTGCTTTTAAAAGTGAGAGTCTGTAAATAAACGGCGTGGCTCTGGATGGGAAGCAGAACCTCATGAGTGGAGCTTCTCTGAATGTGACGGGAGCATATTTCTTCCCCGGCTGAGCTCTGATCTCCTGTTCTGAGTTTAGATCCGGGGTGACGGCGTTCTTTATATTTGCTCCTGGAGGAGAGAGAGGAGCCAACAGAACTGAAGTAAAATCGTTCTCCTCGGGCCCTTCAGAGGGAAAACAATCCATTTGCTTAATCACAGCTCTTAAAGTGTGCAGCCAAGTTGCCTGGTAACTAAGCGAGAGCTGAAGCAGTCGACTTTGGAGTCGTATTTAACAAAAGCAGCAGGAGGACGTGGTAAAATGCTGACATGTTCAAGGCCTGAAAGCAGCCTGGACAGGAGCTTTGAGTCAGGAAGTCACCTGCTGAGCATCCTACCTTCATCAGGTGCTTGTTCTTTAAATATAAAGACGACATTTATGCTATTGGTGATGAAATTAGTTTTATCTTTGAAAATCAGAAATATTTTTTGCAGCAAGAGGAAAAGCTGAAAGAAAAAAAGATAGCATAAAGCTTTTGGCTGTTCTGTGTCAGAATGTGGACTATAACCATCCATGGATCCAGTCTGTGATGATTATTCTTCAGATTCTTGGTTTTTGTTGTAATGGATTCAGGTCTGGGCTTTGACTAGGCCATTCTCAGACATTATTGGGTCTAAATCTATTAATGTTGAGGTGTTTGTTTACATAAAAGGATCCTTTCAGGATTATTTCTTAGCGCTTTCCAGCTTCATTGTTAATGTTTTAGAACGTCCAACCTTATTCTACTTGCAGAAACATTTTTTTTGACCTTCTGATTTTTCACATAAAGTCTATGAAGTAGAATTAAAGGGAATGATTGTGATCATCGGTCTAGAAGCTGCTTTCAGATCTTTTATTCTGGGGGAGAGAAAAATAAAAGCAGGTTTACTCTTGAACTAAAACAGAAGTAGTTTATTCTGAATAACTAATGCACGCTGTGTGTTTTTATTCCATTTAGTTAATCTTGTAGCTGAGACCAGCTTGATGGGGAAATGGCTCCTAAAGCACATCATCCAAACTGATTCTGATTTATTTCTCTGTGTGTCGGAGAATCATGGCTGGAAGAGCAGTTTGTCGTCTTCAAAACGGTTCAGATTTGAGTTGTTTGCAGGCGAAGAAGAGGTGGTTAATGTTTAGGAGATGAATTGATGTGTGAAAGAGGAGGAAGAGGAGGGGGCGGGTTGGTGGTAGTGGTGAGAGGGGTCCTTGCTCTGGATGTCAGCAGCTAACAAAGAGCTCTGCATAACAAACGGGGCTTTAATTTGTTTTTCCTCGACAAGGTCGCTGTGAGCGATGGCTCACGGGCAGCGATGGGACGCTGTTGAGCGATGAGGAGGAGGAGAAAGGATGAAGAGGCCTGAAGGGAGGCGATTGCAAAAGAAGTCGGGTTTTCCTATTTAAACTGAGAGCATCTAAACGCATCAAACCAGTAGGAGAGGAGGAATGAGGGCAGGTACGAATGACTGGTGAGATGCTTAGCTGTCTCCATGACAACGGACTAAAGATGCTTATGGATGCTTATTGAAGATGGAGAAACTTCTCTTAAGATTTTATGTGGATCATTTTCTCTTTCTTTGATAATTTTTTTATTTGTAAAACTGCTGATTTAGGTTTTAAACTACATTCATGGCTTCTTTCCTGCATCAGTGAATGTGTCGCACCAAGTTCCGCTGGTTTGATCCTAAAACCTTTCATCGTGTTTGCCAGGGAGTACGTTTTAAAACATCTTCTCTAAAAAGATTCAAAAGCACCAAAATTTGACCTTTTATTTAAAAAAGATTAGAATTGGTCATAAAAGGAAACTGGAAAAACTGAGAGGATTGTTTAAAATCTGATCTAAAACTGATCTATGAACTCTGAAGCACTCGTCGGCCTCATAAACGGCTATTTTCTTTAGCTGCATCCAGAAATATATCATAAAGGCTTTAAATCGTTTGAATTAAATTAATAGTTGGTTTGGAATAAAGCAGGTGGTTTTATTACAAAAAACTGTTTAAAGGGGACAGGGATTTTAATTTAATCTGTTAAGTGTTAAACTCATCCTAAATTTTAAGCTGCTTTAAATCACATATCCAATAATCGACTTTATTAGGTAGTGATAACTCGGTCAGTGAAAAGTTATATTTTATCAGCCATTTTAAAATTTACAGCAAGACTGTAATTTTAACCACTAGGGGCGCTATACCTGTAACCTCCAGATTAAGTTCTGCTAAAAACAACTGGTGATACTGCAGCTTAGATGCATGAACGGTTCTCCCTCAGTGGTTAAAGGTAGAAAGGAGGATATTCGTGAAGTTTAGAAAAGGCACGCCCTCTCTACGTTTAAATAAAAATGCTCAACGCTGAGCCCACTCCAGAGAGGGAACGCCTATTAGGCACGTGCAATAAAGTGCACAAGCCCATTTCTCCTCGTGCACGCTCTGTTTAAATGTTGCTGTTTTATCGCTTATCCAAGCTTAATTTCCAAAAGATTTGCGATTTTTCCACTATGTCAGGGAAAATGGGAACAAACACGTAGGACGGCCTTACATAAACCTATCATCAGAATGATCCATTATACCCTGAAGTATCTGATGGCCGACCAGTTTGGACCAGCTCACTGGGAAGTCATGGAGTTAGATTAAAGACTTTACATTAAATCTCACATCAGAAAAGCAGAAGTTAGTCTAAGCTGGGGCTGCAACTGATGATTATTTTACATATCGACTAATCTGTTAATTATTTTATTGATTAATCAATCAATAATCAGATAGCAAAAGGTTATTTAAAGAAGACTTTAAACCAAGTGAAAATAAAGCTTTTCAAATGGAGGAGTTCTGAATAGAGCAGATTGACAGACGATAAAGATTTTTATCTAAATGCAAAATGTTTACATTATTTTTCCTTATAATTTTGGTATAACTACTGCTTTAAGTGGGTCGCTCTTTTTACACTCCAGTTAACAGTTAATCAATTTCAATAATTGATTAATTGTTTCAGCCCTAGTCTGTTCAGGTGAGGTTGTATCTGTTTTGTTTAACAGCAGCCGTAAGCTTAGTTAGCGCTGGTGTTTAAGGTTAGCTTGACTGCCATAAGGTAGCGCTGTGGGTCACATGACTCATTCAGTGATGGATCCGACCCTCTCCAGTTACAGAGGATGGTTTTTTGGTAAATATTGACCTGAATATTTTTCAAATAAAGCTATTTCTTGAGTCAGACTTTAGTGAGTGTTGCTTCAGGGAAATAATTTGGAATAATTTTGAAACTAAATACAAAAACTGTCCCAAAAATGTTCAAAAAAATAATCTTCAGAAACTGGATGTGCTCTCTTCATCCTCTGACATGGGAGCTAGCTCGGAGCTCGTCTGCCTGGCTGTACGGGGCTGTATGTCTGCTTCTGTCTCCTTGAACCCCAGTGGGCCTCAGCAGATGGCCGCTCACACTGAGCCTGGTTCTGCTGGAGATTTCTTCCTGTTCAAAGGGAGTTTTTCCTCTCCACTGTCGCTACAAGCATGCTTAGTGTGAGGGATTGCTGAAGAGTCAATGAGTCGATGCAATCAGCTGGTTTTCCTTAGATAGAAAACTTTGAATCAATCTGACTGGATGATCTGGTGAACTGGAAAGTGACCTGAGATGACATGATGTGAATGGACACTATAGAAATAAATAAACTGAAACTAGATGTTAGTTCCTCCCTCATGCTGTCTGTGTGCTGATAGGCAGCAATTTGTATTCTGTGACTTGTCGGCATATTTTATGCTACTAGATTTATTGATATTTTCACATTCTAACTTTTGCTTTACAGATTTTAATCCAATTTTGAAGTGATTGACAACATATCTCTACTGAACTCCTAAATTTAACCGAAATAAGAATAAAACCAAATAAAATGCATCCATTAAATGAGACCTGAACTAAACATAAAGCCAAGACTTTATGTTTAGTTCAGAGAGTTTAAACTCTCTCAAAAATCCATCATTATGAATTTGTCTGTTTGAAGGCGCTTTTTTAAACTATGTAAGGATTCGGCACTACTTTGAAAATAACTGCGTAGGTAACTTTGATCACTTGTCTGTTTTTTTCGGTCTGAAGATCCTTCAGGTGAATCCAGCTGTTTCTGCTGGTTGGAAACAACTTTGTTCCCGCTGCTTTTCTTCTGCAGCTTCTCAGGGACTCATTTAACCTTCGGTTCACACGAAGCATCACAACCTCTCTGCCCCCTGACACACATTGTGTTTCTACATGCCGTCTGCAGGAGGAACCAGCTGCTTTGTTAGCCGCTCTATGGAAATTTGAGAGGTGCACAGAAAACTGAGAGCTGCAGAATGAGGCTCGTCTTTATGAGTTGAATTAAAATCACTATTCAGTCAGTGTTATTTCGAAAAGCCGTACTTTCTGGTACCTCAAATTAATTCCCTATTACTGGGTTGCTTATCGAGTGCTGCACAGACACAAAGATGCAGACAAACGGTGAAAAGCAATTAAAAATAAATGGAGTTTCAGGGAAAAAGTGCCTGAGAGAGCAAGTTGTCTGCAGCCAAGTTTATTTTTGTTGTTTTTTTGCTGCTATGGACTTTTTGTCACCATCCTGGGGCGCCATCAGCCTAAACGGCGAAATTAACCCAATTATTTAGAGCGAGCTGAAGTGGCGCTGCTGCCTTCAGGCTCCGTGGTTTTTCTGAGCACTGAGTGATGTGTCTGGTTTTCAGCTCACGGGTCCTGATGAAAGTGATGACTCGGTTGTTTTAATGTGACACAAGCTGCACGTCAGAGTGAAACTTCTGGCAGAAAAAGCAAAGCCTCGGCACAATTTTTGTCCCCCGCCGTCAAGAAAGAGGCAACAATAGTTCAAAGAGAGGCCTGTTTCCGTAGTAACATGCCAAATATAACAAGGCTGTGATGAGGAATTGTAAGACTGAAGCATATCTGTAGTCATGATCTATAGTCCTACTATTGTCTGTCCAAAATCTGTGGAAAAGCTAAAAAAAAATCAGATCTAGAACTGGTATAAAACACGATAAAAACCTGAGGCTTTTTAAAATAGATCAAGGACACATAAGAAACAAAAAAAATGGTTCATGATCTGCACTGAAAACCAATGTGAAACAGTGAAATCACTGGCAGTTTAATCTGGACCTGGTCCAGAAAAACTATTCAATTATTTTAAATAGTCTGAATACTTTTAAATCCACAAAGAACATAACTGTTAAAATAATTTAGCAAAATAAAAGCAAGACTTAACTGAAAAAAAAGAGTCAAACTGTTTGAATCGCTTATAGAAACTTACTTTCCCAAAGAAGATTAGCAATTTTTCCACCATGTCCAACTCACCACTGGTAACAGAAAACGAGACGAGCACGAAGGACGGCCTTAAAAACATCACTAGAATGATGGACAGTTAGGAGGACCACTTATAAAGATGATCCACCTGGAAAAAGAACATTCTCCGTCATACCTTAAAATCATTTTCAGTTTACTAGAAATTACTTTTTTCCTACTGTATTTTCACGTCTCTAAGGCGCATATAAACGTCTTTTTTTTCCCCCTCAAAATGTGCGGCGCGCCCTATGTGTGTTGTTACTGCGGACGTTTGAGACCACCATGAGAACGTTAAAGGGGGAAGTGTGGGCGTGGATTGTGTATAAAAGAACAGGTATGTGCTTTATGCAGAACTCCTCATCTCCTCATTGGGGAGATGATGAAAGCGTGGCTGAGGGAGGTGAATGTAAGGAGACCAGGTGGTTTTTTTCCACTCATCACCATCGCGATTTTGCTGCTTGTACCAGTTAGTTCTGACACGCGGCTGAAGCAGCTTTGCTGCTCTGGCTGCGCGGTGCTAAAGTGGCTCTGACGCGCGTTGGGCGGAGCTACTCTATCCTTTCTCTGCCTTGCAGCTATATTTGCTGTGATCAGTGGGAATAAAGTAGTTTTAATATGTTTTTAAGTGAGAAAATACACCTGAAAACTTAATCAGTGCAGTCAGTTCATCCAGATTACCATTCTGCCTTCCAATATTATTTCTGTCGGAGCCGCTCAGACCCCCACATACTGGCGGTGAGCTGTCAGTAGGAATCCATTCAACAGCAGCCTCTGGCCGGGTCGCCTCCTCGCGGTTCACCGCGGCGGCTGGTAGGTGTTTTTTATCTAAATATTCCAAACTGCAGGCAGCAGGATAATAAAAGCCAACATATTCTGCCGGCAGATTTCTGCATTTTAAGTTAATTTATGCGTCAATAAACAGTTTCAGAGAAGTGATCACAGCACTCTGATCATCAGCGATGTGTCTGCCTCACGGCCAGCTCCCAGGTTTGATTAATACTTTGTAATAAATACATGAATAAAGCACAAACACACTCCCGCTCTATTTTTAAATACGCAGTAGAGGTATTTAAACGTAGTAGAGGACATTAACCTGTATATAAAACCCGCGCCCTATAGTCCGGTGTGCCTTATGGTCGTGAAAATACGGTACTT